AGAAAATTCACTGAGCTGTATTTGGAAATAGACTAGCAATAAGTGACATTCTTTAAGCACTGGTATAATATGAACTCAACACCAAGCTTCATTTGTAGTCTGGTCTTATACGTGAAAACTCCCCCTGATGTAACAAACTGTCATTTCCCTCCTTCTGGTGTACTCCACTACACAGAATCTGATCCGAGCAACCTGTGCAAGTTTATCTGCAGTGGTATTATTTGCACCATGGAATAATTTAATTAGCAGTAAGAATTAGCAGTCTTTCTCAATAGCTTCAAAACAGCTCCAAAACTATGACAGCAATTTACTGTTGAGGTCATCTGGGAGTGACACTCCTGCAAATCACACACATAGCCAAGAAGTCTTAGCTGAATGCAACTGAAAATAATCTTAGTTAAACAGATATGAGCATACTCCCTACTCTGTACTTGCAATGAAAACAACAGTTGCGTAACATTTGGGCCTTGCATTCCACCATTTGAGAAGTGCCTGGCGTGCTCTGGTCCATGGGGTCATGAAGAGTCGGACAATAAACGACTAAACAACAACAACAATACAGTGAGAAGAAATTGGATGAAAGCAGACAACTGAGAATCATATAGAGTTGCACTCACTTGCAGCTGAAACTTCATGGGGAGTTGATCCTCTTACTGGTGGAGGAAGGGGGGTGCGGTGGGGGGGCGACACCGCCCCCACCCCCCTGGGACACTTGCCATGGGTGGTGCCCCCTGGGATGCTCGCCGCTCATGGCGGGTGCACTAGCTCCACCTCTGGACCCTCTGCCTGTAGCTTTCACCCACAGAGTAAGATTGATATTATCATGCATCCTGTTTATGAGGTTGTTATGCAACTACCTGGTGGTGGTAGTGGTAATCCTGGAATTTGCCAATGCTGGCTGAATTCCTACCAATTTTAAGAGTTTATCAAAAACAGAGTTGATCAGGAAAGCAGAAGATAAAAGTGCATCAACACTCCTATCACAGAATGAGGCCTATTTTATGCCCAGTCTCAAATTAGGTTAGTACATTTCCATCAAAGTTGAAGTTGATATTCATTGGTAGAAGTTTCCTGTCACATTATATCATCTCACATAGTGAAAGTCAAGTTTGCAAACTCTGCATAAAGTGTTAAGTAATCACCAGATAAAAAAAATCAATATAGGAACATATGATATGTTCAATATAATATAAGTCCAGCATCCAATTTGCTACAGTGGTCTCTGGGAAGCCTGAAAGCAGGGCATGAACGTAATAGTCCCCTCTGACTGTGGTTCCAGCAATCGGTATTCAAAGGTATGCTGCCTCTGATCCTGGAGACAACAGCACAGAGCCATAGAATCATAGATTTGTAGAGTTGGGAGGGACTCTGAGGGTCATCTGGAAATTTTCTCCAGACTGTGGCCAGTGTGAAGTTTTTTCATGGCCACAAGAGCTCCAGTGGGCACAGAGAGCTCCCATGCCCCACAAGGGTCAACAGCAGAAAGAGGTTGGGTTCAAATCACTCTCTTACAGTGACAGCATGGGCATAGCAGGGGGAGGCAGGGGGCAGCTGCCCCCCATCAGTAAATATCAACAAAACTCAATACAAATATGAGGTTCTGGCCCCCCACAACCAAAATCCTGGCTATACCCATGAGTGGCATGAGTTGTTTTTCTCTCTCTCCCTCCCCAGCACATTATACAGTGGACGCTTGGGTTGCGAACGTGAGCCATGCGGGAAGCATGTTCGCAACCCGCAGTGTCCGCAACCCGCAGCACCGCGTCTGCGCACGTGCAGGTCGCGATTTGGCGCTTCTGCGCATCGCCGAAACCCGGAATTAACCCGTTCCTGTACTTCCGGGTTCGGCGCAGTGCGCAACCTGAAATCAAGCAGCCCGAAGCGTCTGTAACCCAAGGTATGACAGTATAGGACTTCTCCCCTAACTGTTAACATCTTGGTTAGAGGGGAAATAGAAAAGGCGCAAGAACTCTAATCAGTGTGAAGCTGGTTTGAGAAACAATGCATCAAACCGTAGGATCTTATAACAAAATACAGGACACATGGGCACTTTGGATTATGTCATGTGAACACGAATTAAAAACCCAGCCCTGGAAATGCAGTAAACAGGAGCGTGAACCCAGCCAGAGAAACCTGATTTCCCAGCCCATCAACCCCAGTTACAAAGCAGAAGTGAGCCAGGGGAAAGGTGCCTGGGGTGATGAACGGTAGTTGGGTAAGGCAGTGGGAGGGGGAGAATTCAGATCCCCTCACTCAGACACCCCCCTTTGACATTAAAAATCGCCCCATCCCCCACTTCACATATGATTGGGATAAACACATAATTAAACAAAATGTGGCTTCCCCTGTCTTCTCTAGTTTTACTAGAAAGGTTGCTTACTGAGCATGGTTCCCAAGAAGATTATGCAAGATGATTATGCAGCGTAAAGGATGTGGGCTGAATTACGAAAAAGCAGAACCCAAAGATAATGTGGTATTGCTGCATGTTACTTAGGAGCGATATAGTTCTGCAAAATCTGTTCTTAATCCCCCAGTTTGGTTTTCTGATTCATTTTCCCTTCTTTTAGAAGCAATTGTCTTGGGAGCAATCAAGAACCACAAAGAAGAAAACCCATATGTTCCAAGATTAATTTCAGCAGAGAGCTACATTACTTTCAAGACTGTCTATGCCTACATAATATTCAGAATGATGTATACATCCAATAGCTGGGGAACAATTTTTTCCCCTAATTAAAACTGGTGACACCTATTCAATGGCTCACTTTTAGAATTATCTACCCAATACAGAGCCCACACCTGATTGGAAGGAGGCTAGCTCAGAGAATAACT